CAAATTTATGTATACATATTTCAGTATATATAAACCTTTAAAAAATTTAGAAGATTAACCTTTAAAAAATTTCTACACCATCATGAAATGTTTCCCTGGTGGATATATAAGTTCATGGTGATGACAGCTGTTTGTGTTTTTTCCCTGATATATATGTTCCTTGTAACTGAGTCTAGTAGTCTTTAGTATTTCTAGTTTTCTACATACCCTGATTATTTTAGTTATTAGTGAAAACAAACAAGAAATAATGTTACTAAAACTTTATTTAGGATTTAGTCTAATTTGAGCTAAAAGAGATCACCTGAATATTGTATGTTTGTACATCCTTTAAAAATTGTACTGACAATACAAATCTAGTGTGTTGAGGCTTAAGGGTGCATTCTGTAACATGAAAATTGGCTCTATCTCTTTTTTTTTTTTTTTTTTTTNNNTTTTTTTTTTTATCTCCCGAACTATTTGAAATCGACACTCTGCTTCCTATTCTTTGAAAGTTGACAAATTGTCCCCCAAACCATTTTTTTACTATTTGAACTTTTGAAGCCGGATTTGACTGGTCAAACCCCACTTTTTAAAGGCACTTTGAAAGTTTTGAAAAAATTGTATATATCGAGAGGCGGTTTGTCAGCTTTCACTGAATGAAAAGCAAAGTGTAATGTTTCGAATAGTATGGGAGGTAAAAAAGATTATATGAAAATGGATAGACAAACTCAAAGTGGTGTTTTAGAAGGATTACCGGAACAAAGTCAAGGCAATCTAGTGTTTTTAACATCGAGTCGGAGGAACCTTTCTTAACATCGCGGAAAGCACGCCACATCACCATGGGGTCCCAACTCAACCCAGATGCAAGTTTCAGAACATCACGCACAATAATTGGCTCCCCCATTCTCCAGTGTCTCTGGAAGTGCTCCAGTTCCCGTAGCTTCATATCACTTGCCAAAGGACAGTAGAGGTGATTGTCATCAGAATTGACTCGATAAGCACACTTTCTTAGCTGCCCATCATCACTGGATTCCAAACATGGACATTGAGTGGCGCTCTGAAATACCTCAGCAGGTCCACAAGCAGCAGTTAACCTTTTGGCCTTCTCTTTCATCTCTGACAGCCAACTATCTTCAAAAATACACTTCAGCTCCAATTTGCCTTGTCCACACCCACCCCTTTCCTTTGGCGGGCAAGGGATTTCACCTAACAAAGTTGCATCCCATTTAGGAAGTGGCGTCTGCTCAGGCATACTATCTAACTTGTTGTTTCGTAATGGCTTCACTTGTTTCGTAATGGCTTCTACCCCATGTAAGTAATCTTTTCCTCTATCAACATACTGAATGGACAAACTTTCACAGCCCCTCAAACAGCCTTCTCGAATCTCCTTGCAGCAGGTGAGACAGAGATCATACAAACAATTTGGACAACTTCGATGAAAATCGACTATAGAGGTTTTGCAATTGTCGCTGCACAAAGAGATCATAAACCATTCAAACAAGTACTAGACTCATAACAATTCCATACAACTCAATCTTACCAATAAATACGCTCATCTGGAGAGCAGTCAACTTTCTCTATCTTTACCTCTGATGACCCTGGACGGATAACAATTTCAGTGACAGGGTTAAATACAGAATAGCAAAGAGCAATAATATTCACTAGAGGAACCAAACCAAGAAACATCGGCAGCAAGCTAGAAAGTGTCTTAAATAATAATAATAAAAAAAAAACACTTGTTTGCCGTGAAACCTAAATTAAAGAACCTCTTTCCGAAAATTGGTGGTTATGGTGCAACCAATAGACATCTCATTATTGAATTATACATACAGTTAAGTGAAGAACAGCAAGTACAAGGCATGAGATTTCATTTCCAGGACGACTCAATTTATATTTCCAATTTCTCTATTTTGATTTCACATCTTTCTTTTTTAGGCATCAATAACATTCATTTGTACCACACATGGCTATATAAACAGGTATATATGTATCAATGCAGTTGAATCAACTGGAATGCAGCTTGACCAACTTCTGTGGTACCATATTAGTTCCTAGTTGAATATATGTGTGTGCTCACATACAAGTGTGTCAAAGCAACTCATCCAGTTATCCAACACCATTAGTCATATTTCAAATCTAACCATGCACTATAGCACTTTCAAACGACAATCAATATCATAATTGAAATGGCAATACAAATTTCATCAAATGCTATGTAAATAGGTTCCACATCCAAGGAAGACCACCGTATAGGTGTAATAACCATTCACAAAGTTACCACAAATCTGGGCTTCTATAGTCTTCTCCACCATCTGATCATGACAAAACTGTTCCACAAAAGGCATGAGGAAACTGATGAGATACTTCAGTAACTGTGTCTTTTCTCTTTCGTCATCTGGATAACCACGATACTTAACCTGCAATAACATCAAAACACGTTAAAGCAAAACATGAAAAAAGATCTATGCATAATAGGAAGATATTCAACTCAACCTCTAGCACATTAGCTCTACGTAAACAAGCTTTACAGTTGCAAATTCTACGACAATATGGACAAGCCTCTGCTATAGCTTCCTTTGATAGCTCCGGATACCTATAACAAACACCCAAACAAGAAAAGTGATGGAGCCTCCACAACCAAGCTTTATGTGTTCGACACCTATTTCCCCACATATTAAAAGCTAACTTAACCCAAAAGTGCCGCCAAATATACAGTTCCAACATAGAAAACAAAACAATAATATTAACAAATTCTTCACAAAGTAAAAATCCAGTAAGCAAGAACAATGGTGATGCTGCTTCAGAAATATGAATCAAGCTTTTAATCATATCCGAGTGACACAAAGACCAACATACCATCTCCCAACGCACTCGAAACAATATCGCCTTCGAGGGCATTTGGTGCACCTTACGACTTTCCTATCACTCTTCATGCACTGATGACACATCTGGAATGGGTCATTTGGGTCCTGTTCATTGCAGAACAATTTTCAGTTCTCCATTACCAAACAGCAAAAATCAGATCACAGAGTACACAACACAGTACAAGCATACATCACTCGTATATTTGCTAACTCTTGTTCCCCTCAATCCATGGCTTCCACACTGCGTATTATGGGTGGATTTTGGCTCAGCCCTTTCATCCCCTTGAACATCTACAGCGTCTTCTTTCTGGTTTATCGGACCTTTGCTCTTCTTGGAGGTCGATGAAGGCCCCTTGTCATCCACACTCCTCTTCACTCCTTCACCCATCATTCAACTCATTTTCTGCACTCACTTTCTTCGGAGGGACGCGACATTCTCACTTAAAACAATTTTTTTTTTTTTTTTTCACTCCTCAAAATGAATAATGGAGCGAGATATATGCAACGCGGACTTCAATTGAAGTATGGAAATTTATCAATGGCTGTGGGCACCATGTTCGGTACGGTTCGAAGATTGACAAACTTAAAATTTGGTTCGGATATTTTTATTTTTTAGTTCGGATATTTGGAGATTTCTAATTATTTTTTAGTTTTTTTAATGACCACATAGTTATATTTTAATTTTTATATGTTTTTTTTGTAAAAAAAAATCCTACATTCACCAATACTTATAAAGATTTTATTTTTAAATTAACTTTAGAAGTAGCTCTAAATTTTTATTAACACTATATTTGTGCAACTAACAATAAAAAATTTAAAATTCAAACAAAATATAATACAATTTTCTTATTGAAGTAGTATTTATTTAACACCTTACATACCGTGTTAGTGATAAGATAAAATAAAATTAAGTATCGACAAATTTAAGCAAAAGTTTAAGTATTTATTTAAAATATTTTTTTGACCTTCTATACTTTTTAAATATTTTTTTCTAAACCAGGAAAATTCAGTTATCGATCAAGTATTACTAAACATAAAATTTAAGTGAAGCTTAATTGTTATAACTATATTCTATTTGCATTTTAAAACTTATCAAATTATATATGATCAAAGTTGACATACGATATATTAATAACACACGTCTATTTTATAATTCGGTTCTCAATTTTAGTTATTCGATTCGATACGGTATGGAACAGTTAGGTTCGGTTATCGGTACAAATATTATTTAAATCTCCAGAACCATACTAATTATTTTTTCGATTTAGTTCGATTCGGAGAAAGTCAAACAATCAACATTTATATTTCGGTTTAGAGTGATTTCAGTTCGGTTTTCGGAACAGTTCGGAATTTCTATGAGTCTCATGCTCAACACAAGTCCTAATGGATAAAAGAATCATTTTGAAAAGAAAAAAAAAATATATTTTCATTTTATGTTCGGATTTTAAGACAATGTCTCGTGTATGGGTGAAGTAGTTCACACAAATACTCGTATATTACATGAGTACGTACTTGTTAAGAATTTTATATTTAAAATTAAAAATAATAACAAATTTTATTTTGAAGTACTTTTTTGAACGACTATATTACTATTTATATTTAAAATGACGCACATCACTAATACCACTTACCATTTTATATTATAATATATTTTTTAAATTATATCATTTAAACATTTTGGAGTTAATTAATTTAAATAAATTTATTTTTTCAAATTAATATTAATATGCAATTTATTTATTTTTATAAATATCAATAGAATTATTTATTTAATTTATACGTACAATATAGGCGTTAAATCAAAACTCATCAAAATATGATTAATTTGATATATTACATATAAAAAAAATTGATAATAAATAAAAAAAATTGTCGACCTTTAAATCTATTTATAATTTATGTTATGAGTGACTTTTTATAATTTTAAAAGAAAAATGAAGAAAAATTAAAGATTGAGAAAATGATTATGTCTTATAAACCACGTCTAGAATAATATATGTAACATACTTAATGTTATTTTTTTGTTGAAATAATACATATATAGTATATTATGGATATTTCAAATCTAGTTGTTCTTGGATTGGAAATGAATTAAAATTCATCCAAACCAAATGACAAATCATGAAAATTTATTATATAATAATCTCGAAGCATGCAAGTCTGCCAATTTAGGAGGATTTGATTAGAAATGAGCGGTATAAAAGAGATCGAGTGATGAGTAATATTTGAAAATAATATTTGATGCAACAAATATTATACTTATCTACTAAATTCATCACGTGTACACACGGTCAAATCAGTTTCGGTCTAAGGTCTGTATGACCCTGAACCGGTCCATACATATGCATGGGCGAACCGCTAGTTCCAGGCCGGCCCGATTCACTAAATATAAAAATAAAAATTCATTTCGATGCTCAGTGAAGGGACTCCTAATGGATTGAAAACCATATCCAGATTCACTAAATATAAAAATAAAAATTCATTTCGATTTCGAACACGGTTAAAGGTGCATATATGTGGCCCGAAACCAACCCAGTTCAAGGCCCATTGACCACGTACCGGTTTGGCCCGTGGTCACGTCTAATCACGTGAGGGTAAAATGACATTAGTTTGATTTGGTTTTCAAAATCAAACACCAACTGAAAATATTCAAATTCTGACTCTTCTTTGGTCAACAACAATATTGCCTCGTACCTCTAATAGTCGATAGCAATGCCCTCAAAAATTACCCATCATTTTTTTAAAACAAAGCCCTTATCAAATCATTATCCATGCAAAATGTATTTAGCAAATAATAAAATTCATGCTTTACCAAGTGATGTCATTCACAAATTTCAGATAATGTAATCATTCTATAAATAGTAAAAGAAAAGGTAAAGAGAGCTTTATGACCCTTAAGCTAGATATGGCTAAGACCTACGATAGTCTGGAATGAGCTTTTTTACCAAAAATTTGCAAGAAGATGGGCCTGTGTAATATTTAGTTTCATCTATTGGATTCTTAATGGATCCTTTCCTGTGTTTGTTTCTTTTCATTTTCTTTCAATGTCAATAGTTGCTAATATCTCAGGTTTTTTGCAACCCACTCGGGGCCTCAGACAAGGTGACTCTCTCTATCCATGCTTGTTGATTCTGGTGTCTGAGGCTTTCTCTAATTTAGTTAAGTAGGCTAGTATTATAGGTTCCTTCAATGGGATTAGGATAGGTAAGCATGCCCCATTTGTGTCGCACTTATTTTTTGCTCATGGCTCAATCTTATTTTGCAAGGATGATGTTGTGCATGCTAATCTCATTCTGAATATTCTTGCTAAATATGGGAATGATTCGAGCCACCTAGTTAATTTGGACAAGTCTTCAATTTTTTTTTCTAAGATACTCCTCAAGGGACTCTACTGGACATTTGTAGGGTTCTGATTGGACTTTGTAGAGTTTTCTAAGCCAATTATATTGGTCTCACTTAAAGAGTTGGGAGATCTAAAAGAGAAACATTTCAGTTTTCGGTAACCGTGTCCAAAATAAAATCAGGAGTTGGAAAAATAAATTTCTTAATGAGTCTGGTAAGGAGGTTTTGGATTAAGTATGTTCTGACTGTTTGCCCACTTATGCTATCTCATGTCTTAGAGTTCTTACTTCTATTGTCAAAACCATTTGTAGGGAAATTGTCAACTTCTGGTGGGGGAAAA